TCAAAATCCTGCGCTGTAATGAACCTGACAGAGCAACTTACGTGCGGAACGTTAGGGAGGAGGTGGTGTGGGCGGGAAGGCGCTTTCCAAAAATACTCCCTGATACGGTGGCTTAGCAATCGGAGGTGCCAGGTAAAGTCTCGGACCTCGGCTTTGCCCCTCCGTCGCTCAGGGTAATGTGGTTTGCATCTGGTCTACCGTTAGTGCGGCTCTGGCTCCCGCTGCGTTAGTGCCTACGGAGAGTTGGTCGGGATGTTTTGATGCTCGGAATTTCACTGAACGTCGCTGTTTTTGCTCAGCGCTGTGATGTTTGGTCTCAATGACGCGCCGAGGCGGGGGTTTCGGGCATCGGTCACTTCTGTGCGGAGAAGGAAGGAGAGAAAACCTGACTTTATCCAACAAAAATGTTTTGACAGCATTCGGCTTTGCGGAAACATGGGAAGGGTTTTGTTTGTTTTCCGGCGTGCAACAAAAAGACGTTTAAAAACCTCAAAACTTGTGACAAAATGGAATATTCACCCGCAGCCCACGCCACGAGTATGGCTTTGAACTTAGACATACTTCTGGAGAAACAGCAGTGCTCAGACCCAGCAGTTCCTCTCCATTTTGAAACATCTCGCCTTCCCCTGACCTCAAGCAAGACTTCAGAGGCTCAACTGTTAAGAACGAGGAAAAGCAGCTTCAGTCTAACAAAAAATCCCTTGCTGATTGTCAAAAACTGCCTCTTCGTTAAACGGAAGGAGGGACAGATCAGAGAAGAGATGAGAAGTCCAAGATGGGCTCATAAAAAGTGGCCTCGACAAGAGTGGATGTGGATGTCGCTACTGATTGTGCCCGGACTGCTGGAGGATCCTGCGGCAGGAGGTTAAACGGGTTCAGTTACGTCTCTCGCTCGCACGGTGGGGTGGACTGAGCTCTTTCAGATCCGCTGTTGCTCTTACGCAGAAAGGTCTCGGGCGTTACTGAGGTGGACAGCAGGCTAAAGCCTGAGGTGAGGAGAAGGTGCCGTGCTTGAGAGGAGGCTGCGCCGCCCTCGCTCTGCGTGGTCCGGCGGCTTTGCGGGACGGGAAGAGCGAAGGCAGCTCTGGCTGCAGATGGTTGCGGCGATTACGGCTGTTTTCTGGTTACCTGCCCAAGCAGCTGCCACTTTTCTCCGGGTTTCTCAGTGTCGGTGAGGTTTCCAGTGGCGTTGGGAGCTGTTGGGGTGTGTGTGCGCTTTGGGCCAGGCAGGGCACCGCTCGGCCAGCTCCGCTTTCGGGAGCCACCGTAGCGGCTCTCCCCACCAAGGCATGGTCAGAACAGTTTTTGGGTAGCGCTGTGAGGTTTGACAACAGAAATCCTACGGGATCAGCAAGCAAGATGGCCTGTGTGGACCCGAGCAATGCAACCAGGGGATCTTCTTCAAAATTCTGGGATTCGGGTGATTTCTGCCAGCAGATTGCTCGGTGCTTTTCCAGGCATACACGATCCGTCCTGCATTTGGCTGCACGCTGAAGCTTGTCAGCTTCGGGACCAGAGCTGATGTGACGGCTTTATCAGGAGAGCCACTTCACTAAGCCGGACTGGATCGCGTACAGCGGTCAGCTCTTCAACGACAGCTTCCCATCACCGACACACAGATAGTCTTTAGAAACATCTCTTTCACATCGATTTTTGGCTACGTCCAAAACCGTTTGGGCAGGCTGCCTGTGCTGCCAAAGGATGCTGCTGCCCGTGCGTGCCCGTGGCTCCTGCCTGCAGGAGGGTGCACAGGGTGGAATAAAGATTTCCCCCCCAGCAGTGAGCAGCAGCTCCCGCTCCCGCCTGCTCCCTGGAAGGAGCTCCAGCAGCCCACGCACCACGGCCGCCCTCGACAGCACGACGTCCCCATCCTAGCAGCGCCGCTGTCTGCAGGGGGGACAAATCAGTGCCCCGGCCTGGGGGTCCGCACACATCCCCGCTGCTCCAAACCACAGATGTTAATATAAGCAACCAGGTTGCAGATGCATCTTTGGCTTCACAGGACCAGTATTTGCCCAAGTCCCTCCTCGCTGTTTGCTGGCTGGTGTCTCACTCGTTCTGTTGCGTGGATATGCGACACTAATGATTTTAAGTGATTTTTCTTTTTTTTTTTTTTTTTTTAACAGCTGGCTGTTAGCAGAGGAAAGGCCATAGCTTTTGCAGTGAAGCTCCACTAGTAATCATGTTTCACGGGGAATGAGCACGTTTGGCAGAACCTAACTGGCCTCTTCTTCCTCACAGCAGCTCCTGCCCCGGTAGCTCCGATGGGCATTTTGGGCAGCCGGGGCTTTCAGGATTAAGCCCAGTTTATCAGTACGGTATCTGAGGTCCCTCGGGAAACATGCAATGCAGTGCCAACGCTTGCACCTCAAAACCGGGCAAGCGGTGGTCCCGAAGCCCACGGAGAGACAGATGCCAGGAGGAGGAGCTGGCACGGACCCTCCTGCAGCTGAGGCTGTGGGGACCGCATCCGCACCGCTGGGAGACGCAGGTCTGGCGAGGCTGGAGCTGGGAAAGGGGAGATGTGTGCCTTGGCTCACGGTTAGCATCCGCAGAGGCACCCGTCCCCGCTGCTCTGCCCCAGCCCCGTCCAGAAGTAGGTGCACATCTTCCCCCGGGGTCCCCAGCCTCGTCCCGCGGCGTGAGTAGCTGATGTGAAGCGGGTCAGGGTGCCTCTTCTAAGCGTCTGCTTTACTCTGTCGCTCCAAGGTGTTGCTGATACTCGGGCTAGGCTTCCCCTCACCTAATCCAGTCTAACCTACGGGGTTCCATCTGGAGACCCCGGAGAGACACGGTGATGCACGGCACGCACCGTTCCCCTCCCGCCATGCCGGGAGCCAAACTTTTTGGGAGGACATAGCGAGACAAATGGCCCTCGGCCCCAGTAATCGAAGTCCTGCAAGCGTGGCTGTGCGCAGCCCAATGCCACTAGAGGCAAGACACGCTTATCACCCAGCCAGATGGTTCCTGTTCCCAGGACTGTAAATTTGGGGAGGGGGAGAGTAAATAAATAAACCGCTCGCAAATCTGCCTTTGAATGGAAAGTAAAACACTGCAGGACATCCCTCCCCCTTCTCCTCCCATGTGCGTAAAACCAACTTGAAACACACCCTGTTGCTGGGAAAAGTAAGGCCGTTCTGTTTTGATTTTGGTAGATAATCTTGTGCCGTGGAGGTCAGCCGGGCAAAGCGAAGAGGTCATGATGAGAAGCAAACATCCGCGCTTAGGACAGCTGCTGGGAAGTGCTTTGGAAAAGCCAGGAATTTCGAAGAACAGATTTGTGAGTCCCCAAGACGAGAGAGAAAACAAAAAAAATAATCCAAGGTGGGCCACTGCTTTTTCCTACGGTATGTTAAAGTGGATACCTGGCCCTGCGAGCCCTTTGTTTTAATTCGTGTCTGGGTGGGGTGTCAATGTACTGTATGCACATCGCTATATTTAACAAACTATATGTTAGAACCACAGTGTAAATGCTAATTTAAGCAGATTTGTATGTAACCAGAATTTTATATACCCATTTGTCCCTTTTCTAATTTATGCTGGTTTATGTGTATAAATGTACTTATAGGAAGATATATTAAACTTATGTCTTTGTACAGTATATACATACTATTTTACCCAAGCGAAGTATTTTTGCAGCGATATTAGAGAAGATGCCGTTTGCTATGTTTAAAGACAGAATAAAGTCACGGTCTCTCCCTGGCAACTGGCTGCCCGTGCTCCTGCTGTTCTTTGTGGGGCCCTAAAGATGTCAGTCTTGATTAAGTTTTACGGGTGGGAGCGTGGGTCTGGGGGGCTGCTGCGAGGACTGCTGCTTCCACCCGACCCACCTGGCCAAGTTCGCACAAGTCCACTTACGGCTTGTCCGAAGAACGATCTGCGTGCCTAAATGGGAGTCCAAAATTGGTTCAGAAAACCCTCACTCAGCTGCCGGGAAATCTCGGTGGTTTCTACGTTTCAGTTGCACCTTCCAGTTTGCATTTGCAGTTCCCCAGCCCTTTGCATCTGCCCAAAAATGGCCCCGTAAGAGCTGTTTCGCCCCATCTCCCTCCCCGGCATCGCGCTGGGATCGGCAGGAGCAGCCTCTCTGCCTGGAGCCCTGATGTGCCGGGGGGGCCTCGGGGCACGGACCTCTCCCAACCTCCCTAAAAACAAATATGCAGCTAGACCATCGGTGTTTCCATGCAGAGCTGATGCGGAGGAGCTCCCCCAGTTCAGCACTGCACACCCCTCCCCTGCACCTTCCCAAAAAAAAAGCCTTTTCCCAACAGTGGGACTCGGGAGGGCAATCTCGGGGCAATCCCTGAGCTCCGCTGCTGCAGCCGCGGATGAGCCGAGCATCCCGTCCCCGAGGAGGGCAGCGGTCAGGGAGAGCCCGGGACCCTCTTTCTTTCGCAGACAGCCGGCTCTTTAACACAACCTCGTTAATAAACCTCACTCGGCAGCCGGTGGGGCAGGTGCTCTGTTTCCCACAGCACTCACCTCCCGCCAGCCAGGAATTTTCTCTCCACAGCCACAAACTTCCAGGGTCTCGGCACCAGAAGGGACGGAGAAGCTGTGCGCCCCGTCCTCCCCTGCCTTGTGCTCCCGCCGGCCCACTCCTGTATGGTTCATGTCTGGTTTTTTAGAGGAAAGCCAAGCGAGTCTCCCAGAGGAGTTGTCTCCCAAAGCCAACTCTCCAAGTAGGGAGTTTTAAGCCAAGATGTGCCTTTCTCAGCTCAAGAGCCCTACAAAAAGCCTCTCCGTGTGCCCAGAGCCACTGTAGCGCCCTGCTCTGCCGCGGTGACGGTCCCGCTCTGCAGCAAAGGGGACCCTCTGTGTGCTCACGCAGCCCCACAGCGCACTCCCCTCCCTGCGTCATCGCGGGGAGCACAGGGGACCGCAGCCTCCGTCCCTCTCCTCCACGGCCGACCTCCAGCCTGGAGCCAGCCCGCGCGTCAGTCCCATTCACAGAAACCAGACTCAGGGGGGGGAAAGGAGCAGCCTGAGCAATTATTTGCTTAAAGACAAAGCCGCATGGCTCTTCTTTCCATGCGACGGTCCGGCCCGGCTGCGTCAGTGCCGGGCGCTTGGCATCGGCAGGCCACGTGCTGCGCGTTGCAGCAGGGGGTCACGGCCGGGTCTTTGGAGTAATCTGCAACCGAGACGTTGTCTGTTGCGATGTCCTCCAGAGCTCGGGCGTAAGCCCTGCTGACTGCAGCCAGCACTGCCTCATACTCTCTGGATGCCACGTCCAAAGGCTCCTGCTCCTGGGTATCGCGATCCAGGTTGAAAATGAGGGGTGGCTGGTGATGCTCAGCTGGCCCGATGCTCCCGTCGCAAGCCATCGCCCCTCCTAGGGAGGAAAGGAGAGAAGGCCACCGGAGTCACAGGCTGCCCAGGACCACCTCCGTACTCCTCAGCCACCTGCGATGGCCCAGTCCCACCACGTCCCAGCTTTGGGAGCCCGGGTCCCGCTCCCAGTCCAAGACTGTTCTGAGGCCAACAACCCCGGGCTGCAAAGCACAGACACAGCGGGGCACATACTTACTCCTCGCTGGGTTTGCTCTTGCTTGAATTAACCTGAGGTGGTTTTTACCCGTTTCTGCAGGGAACCAAGGATTCCAGAAGTTTTTTCCCCAGACTTTACAATCCCTACAAGGGACACGGTACCTGTGGTGTAAAACGCCTTGTACTGAGCCAGCCGCAGCGTCTCTATCTCGCCGTCCTTCCCCGCTGCCCCGCTGTTGGGGTGGAGCAGAACCTGAAGGAAGCAGTGCAAAGTGCCCGTCAGCCCGCTGCAGAGAAAACCTGCCCTGTGAAACCCCTCTCCCCCGCAAGATGAGACCACGTCCCACCCGTGCACACATCCGGAGACACCATTTAGCCCCTGGACTCTGAGCAACCAACCGAGTTTTGCTTGCCGAAGGGCGGAGGGAAAGCAAAAGGGCACCGGGCAACACCAGCATCTCTCTTGTGCCTTCCTGGCCCCGTATGCCGGACCCCCTGGATTTACCTCCCCAGACCAACTTTACCGCAAGAAAGGGATCACCAATGTGCGGGGACAGAACATTTCAGAGCTGGGACGATCTCAGGTGCTCCATGTCACCCACCACTGCCCCATGCTGCCGACTCACCCGTCTCCGCGGGTGCTCACAGCTCAGCTAGTGACAGGGACATCTAAGGGAGCCGAATCCTTGCCTGGGACCAGCAGCAAGCCACAAGCTGCGGGTGAGCTCATGCGCAGCGGAGACGGCACGGGTAGGTGAGGTGCTGGAACATCACTCCCGGTCCATCTCCGCCGCTGACTCACCCCGCTGTGCGAGCGCTCCCTTCCCTAACAACAGCCGTCCCGGCACAGGGAATGGGGGGGAAAAGGAGGGGAGGGAGGGAAGGGTGGGTCGAATCTCTCCCTTTCGGTATTTAGGACACTTGATCCGCACAGGACGACTGCTTTGGCACACGGGAGCGAGAAGACAAGTGAGCTGGACGGTTCAGCGGGCTCATCTGTCAGATAATATCTGCCACGGAGCCAATGGCTTCATTGAGGGATGAGTCACTCGAGGTTTCCTCCCCGGGAACTGAGTTTAAAAGTGATTCAAGAAATTTCCACTGTGCTAAAAATTAGAAACATCTGCCGGAGTTGTAGGCAGCTGCGGTGCCAAGTTTAGTAACAGCCTTCGCAGCTGATCAGCGCGGCGATGCCTTAGCAGGTGCCCGGCGCGGAGCCCTGCCCCGGCACGCAGCACCGCCGGGCACCGCGCTTGCCCGCCCGCAGGTGTCCGTCCCGCGCTGCCCGGTCTGCATGCGGCCGTAGTCTCAGGGGGAGGGGGGGCAGTTGGTAACTCATCCCAAAAATGCCAGGATTCGGGGCTGGGGGCTGATTTCCAAATGCTCTCGGTTTCCTTTATTGCCCTCCATTGCGAGGTAAACAAACAAACAACTAACTAACTAACTAAATAAATAAAAATTCGCCTTCTGGAATTTGGTTTAAAAATCATGTTCTGGGGAAAAAAAAATAATCAGGGTGTAAAGCAGAAGAGGTGGTGCAGTGTGAGCCTGCTACGGGGAGGAAACCCCTGCTACAGAGTCCCCTTGTGCTGACACTCCTCGGGCAGAATAAAAGAGCTCCGAAGTAGAAATCAGCGAATATCGAAGGGCCCGTGAAGCCGAGGTACCAGGAGCCAAACCAATTTTCTGCTTCCAGCCCTAAAGCTTTGCCTCCACCCTGTCGCCAGTCGGCGTTACCTTTAGCAGCGCAGTCGGGATGCTGCTGCATTGATGCAACGGGACTCACACCTCCCTCGCTACCAACCAGCCCCTTCCCAAACCCACCTCGTAAAACCCTACGCTCAAGTAATTCTCTTATAAATTACTGTATCGTTAAGGAGCTTGTTTCAGTTGAGCCCTTTCAGGGAACATCCCCAGGTCTGCAACACATCTGTTGATCTTTGACTTTGTTATTTTAATTTAATAAAAGAAAAAGAAAAGGGGAAAAAAAAGCCTTTTTCTCCGCGGAAAACCCATTGTCTGAACTCGGTGCTGAGGGATGTTTGCTCAAGCGAGCGGGCGCGCACCCCTCCGCCGTTAAGCTAATGGGAAGAGCTCATTTGTCTGACACTTGTACCCTTCCTACATTTTGTAGGATGTGTTTATTTTTACTGTAAACAGCTTTCGCTCAAAACAGGACCTTGGCGTCACCCCAGCCCCGGCACAGGTCGTGCCGGTGCCGGCTGCGCGGGCTGGGACGCCGGGCAAGGTTACCCCGCGCCGGGGA